TATGATATGTATGTGATGCTGTGACAGAGGATACAGTATGATATGAATGTGATGCTGTAACAGAGTATGATACAGTATGATATGTATGTGATGCTGTGACAGAGGATACAGTATGATATGAATGTGATGCTGTAACAGAGTATGATACAGTATGATATGTATGTGATGCTGTAACAGAGTGTGATACAATATCATATGTATGTGATGCTGTGACAGAGGATACAATATGATATGTATGTGATGCTGTAACAGAGTGTGGTACAATATGATATATGTGATGCTGTAACAGAGTGTGATACAATATCATATGTATGTGATGCTGTGACAGAGGATACAATATGATATGTATGTGATGCTGTAACAGAGTGTGATACATAATGATATGTATGTGATGCTGTAAAAGAGTGTGATAAAGTAGGATATGTATGTAATGCTGTAACAGAGTGTGATACAGTATATGTATGTGATGCTGTAACGGAACTTGATACAACCTGGTGAGAAACAAATTTTATAAAAAGAACCCAAACTGTCCTTCAGTTTTATAATGTATTTTGTTGAATGTTAAAGTCAGTATACAGTTAAAGTATGGCGCCCCGAGGAAATAGACCTGGTCTCGGGACACCAGAAACTTGCTATATGCCTCAACCCCATACTTTTGTGTTTTAGTTCCCAGACTAACACACAGGACTAAAACACAGGCAGGCAAAAGTGGGGACATCTTCGATTTGACCAATAACTTTTATATAGAGTAAATAAAGTAGAGGTATAATAATATTTTCTAAGATCCTAGCTTTATCAAGGAGCGTAGTAGCTTGTACTGAAGTATTTGTTTACAAAAAGACAAGGTGGTACTTTTAACATCTCTGTCAATGTTTGTCTCTACATTGTATTCAAAGAGGGCATCAGGTTTATGATAGTGTAAGTTTAATGGTTTGTTGCAAATATTGTCTTCATAGATGTGTGTCAATAAAATGTCAAGGTAACAGACAACAAACCTTGCGGGTAAGTTAGGCAAAAGTTTACAATTGATTCAATATGTGTTCTAGCATGCTGATATTAAGTATACTTTGGAGTTCATCAGGGATCCAACATTGATGAAGTAAGATTTATCACCATTTTCAGACTTTACTTTTTTTCACCCCATATCAAAAGGTTAAAGTTTCAGGGGTAAATGATGTGTAAGCGACTTGCACATTGATTCAATATATTTGCTAGCATGCATGCTGATATTTAGATTGTAAAATTATTTTGAGTTTTCTTAACTTTTTCACATATTTTAGATTTGATATTGTGATGTATTAATGTGTGTATAATGAAGGTTAAAGGTATTGATGGATACTGTGCCAATTTTGAATCGTTTGCCTCAACTTTTGTTACTGACACTCTACATGGCTGTACAAATCAATCATTTATTGTCACAATTCTCTAGCAGTTCAATAGTATTATGTAAAGAGTCCAACCAAAGTTTCAGCAATTACAACAGTTATTTAAGAAATAATTGACGTATGTGCATGTATTATGATGGACTATACAATGAAGGTGTGAAAAATTTGGAAAAATCTATAACAGAGGCAGCTTTGGAGTGGTCAATTTTATTTCCAACTTGATTGAAATCCTGATTTACATATTCAAGATATATCTATTAAATCTATTTTAACACAAAAAAACAACCTAATTCATTTGCAGTCCCCTGTCAGTAGACAATCAACAATAAACACTGACTTAATGCTTTATACAAGATATTCAATTAAATCAATCAAAAACAGCAATTTACCTACAATGTTCATCAACACACAAATTCAACACTTGTTCATCAACACACAAAATTAACGCTTGTTCATCAACACACAAAATCAACGCTTGTTCATCAACACACAAAATCAACGCTTGTTCATCAACACACAAAATCAACGCTTGTTCATCAACACACAAAATCAACGCTTGTTCATCAACACACAAAATCAACGCTTGTTCATCAACACACAAAATCAACGCTTGTTCATCAACACACAAAATCAACGCTTGTTCATCAACACACAAAATCAACGCTTGTTCATCAACACACAAAATCAACGCTTGTTCATCAACACACAAAATCAACGCTTGTTCATCAACACACAAAATCAACGCTTGTTCATCAACACACAAAATCAACGCTTGTTCATCAACACACAAAATCAACGCTTGTTCATCAACACACAAAATCAACGCTTGTTCATCAACACACAAAATCAACGCTTGTTCATCAACACACAAAATCAACGCTTGTTCATCAACACACAAAATCAACACTTGTTCATCAACACACAAAATCAACACTTGATACCAAAAAACTAACTCAAGTGACCTTCATGGAACACATTAAGTGATGGAATCCATTGTGATGTGTGTTACAATTTCAAGTGAGTATTATTATCGTTGAAGTGAATTATCTCCCCTTTTATGCTTGAGAAGGATGTGATATTCTGTTAAAAAGGTCCTCATAAAGCATCACAAAAAAAAAGCCACAGGGCACAGTGATTTGCAATAGAATGATGTTATTTATCACATTTTTATGGAATTAAAACACAATTATATGAAAAAATATCTTTCTGAATAATGAAAAATATTCCACATGAAAACAAATTAATTTTCTGCTAGCTCAGTGTTGAGTGTGTTAAGGCAGTTGAAATATTCTGCTGAGATGAGTTGTTTCGATTGCACCGTCCTATTTGCTTGTAATCACTTGCTCAACCTCATGATGATCTGATTGGATATGTTGTACAGATATGATTTAATATGTTTGTAAAGGTTTCCCGGTATATCTTCTTGTGTTTATATCTTTGCACCAGCCCTCTTCCCTTTTTCCAGTTATGGTAGAACTCACTATTCATATGTCCAACTTGTTACGTTAAAGTTGGTGGTATATAGTCA